TCTAAAGATTAGGTCTTCATAGATATGATTCTACAGTGGGCCATGAAACAGTATGTGTGTTTAATCCTGGTGTGCAGTTGCTTGCAGGATCATGCTCTCATATATGAATATTTAATTCAGTTATGTTTGATGCAAGTGTTACACTTCTTAATCGTGTTTTGTAACTGACAACCAGTAAGCTTTACAAAAAGATTATTTTCTCTCTTGTAAGCATTGGCAGAAGGTGTTGTGGTTAACAAAAAAACATATTCAGAGACAAAATAATTTAAAACCAAAACAACAAAAAAACTGCTACTAATTTTATACTTTCAGGTAGTTCCTTCCATGGCATAATTAGACCTGAGAAGGGATCTCTTACATTATGGAGAACCTACCCAATACAGCCTTATAGTGCTTATTTCTTGCTCATCACAATCAAACATGAAAGGCAGCTTATTGCTACGGTGCAAATATAACAATTTCAGAATTAGAGCTGTATTCCTTAAAAGAACATTCTTTGAGGATTGTGCTGAAACAACAAAAATTATCAGCTGTTCAGTCTTAGGAATTTGCTTGCCAGTTTCCTTAAAGAAGAAAAAGACAACCCCAGTAGTGAAGTTTTCAGTCTGTCTCCACTCAGACTTGCCATTTTGGGTATGGACAAGTGATACGGGATCATCACCTGAAAGACGTCAGAGCAGTCCAATGCATGTTGCATACACATAAAAGTGACTGTGCACTCTGTGGTATATTTGACAGACAGCATTTAAATGCTCCTCATATTATCTAAATATAAAATACAGAAGCTTTCTAGGAAGTGAGTTATGAATGGTAAAAAAATAATACAACCCCACATACATGAGTGTATATGGTACATAGTGATCTGTTGTTGTTTCCAGTGGCGCTATTTGCAAGAGTAAGGATGATTCATATGAAGGCTCATGGGATCAAGGTCATGGCTGCTGTTCCGAAGACTAAGCAGCATTAGGGATGGCCCCTCTTCCACTAGCTGTGATCATTTCCTTGTTCCTCTGAGTTGCCATCAAAGGTTGCAGAACAGATCACAAAGATACATGTTTTGTACCTTGCAATGGATTACACCTTAAAAGAAACCTCAGTCATTCAACTTCTGGAGAATTCTGGAGACCGAAAAATAATTTGGACACTGACAGGTCCAGAGCTACGATCTCTTGATTTTCATCTGGATTTTTAAAATAAACTTTGAAGTTGATAGAATAGGAAAAAGCTTTGTTCGAACTTCAAAGAAAACCACAAAATCGAACAGGAGCAATGTGACACTGCAGAACCTCCCAGTGTTGTTCCATTGCTTCCATTGTACTCTTCTCCTGAAGCACTTCAAAATCATATCTATTCTTATAATTTCTGTGAGTATACCCTCTGTTTCTCACACCCATAGTCCTTGCCAAGCCTTGAGGATGGAACCTGGTTTTCTTTCTTTTGTCAATAGGGAGGTAAGAGTACTGTGCTCATAGATTAAATTGTAAACAGTGCTGCTTCAAATAACTGGGGAAAAAAAATATCTGAAGTCCTGTCTGGGTTTCAGATTTGGATAACCTGTTTTATTTCAAAACTTTCAAGCAAACAAAGAATCTGAACAAATGTTTTCTTTCTAATTGTGCTAGATAGAAGTATCCTAAAAGTCTGACAAAGCATTATGTGTTAGTGGAGCAAATAGAGCAACCTGAAACTGCAAACAGTGAATACTGCAGTGTAACTTTTAACAGAAAATGTCAGTGTAGAGCACAGGCAGACTAGATAAGCTTTATTTTTGATCAAGAGCCAAAAGCATCAGGAAAATAACGACATTACTGTAGTATCCTTTTTTTTTTTCTTTTTTTCTTTTTTTTTTTTCCCTCCATAGAGAACATGAGATAAGCATTGGAGGCAGTTGCTATTATAATAACACTACAGTTGCAGAATTATAATTAAATTACTTTCATCTGGTTAAAACAAAGCTAAGACTAAATGAAATAAAATCATACACGCTCCTCCCATCTTTACCCTGAATATTTCACAAATTATCTTCTATCATCTGTTGTCTTATATTCTATTCCATTTTTCTCTCTACAAGAAAAATAACCTTTAAATATAGTCCAATGTTTGCATACAGGGCTGCTTTTAATGCTATAATTTAGTTCAGCAGTTTACTATCATTAAAGAACTAGAAACTGAATCTCCTCTCACTTGCATACATGAATAGGCCACAAAGATTCAATTTTCATTCTGGCTTAATATTTTGAATAGAGAGACTTATTTCCCTTTTATCTCTTATCTCTTATCTTCCCTCTCCCCCCCCTCCCCAATATAATGCTGTTTTTAATACAGTTGCTGTGGAGAAATTCAGAAATATCTGTAGGGAAAGAGAAAAGAAGAAGCACCCCAAAAACTTTCAAAAATGATTAGGGAAAATTGCTTGTTGAAAGTTTGCAACTATTTCTATAAGTGAACATACATGTAAGGGGATTTTATGAAAGAGGCCGATAGGAACTGCACGCTCAAGTTGTAGGCATGTTCCCTCTTCTCATACTTCTGTTCCTTAGGTGATGCAGGCATCCTGTGTCAATAGCTGCAGCTATTTCCTCATCTCCCCCATGTATCTGCTGCTCTGTTTAAAACTCCATAGGAGAGTATGCATCCATGAAATTTATTTGTAACATTTTTGACACTTTGACCTGTAATGACATTTATGGGGCTTGGCAGCTTATCTCTGAGAGCTATAGCTCAGCACCTAGTACACTCAGTTAGTGCTTCTCATCAGCTTGCTTGGTTTTACAGCATTGCCATTGAGATCAGCCAGGAACAAGCTCAGAGGGGGAAGGAGCTGGGGGAGAAACAAACACTGCCTGAAACAAGGATAAAAATCTCTGGGGTCTGAAGAAACTCAGCGCTCCAGTTTTCAAATACAAATCCATTTCTCACATTTAGTCCCCTTAGCTAGAACAAAGCTTGGTAATTCAGGGCAAGGTCACTTCAGGCTTTGAGCTTCCTAGGCAATGAAGACTGTATTTTGTTTATTCAGAATATTAGTCGTATATGAAGGAATTCAAAATAGCATTAATAAAAGGGGATAGTAGTACTTTATTTTTAGCACTAGTTTTTTGTTTTACATTTAAACAGCACCTACTTCTGATTTGTGATAAGACTCTGCTACGAGAGACAGGAAAAAAAAAAAAAGCATAGAATGTCTGTTAATTTCATGACTTTTTTAACTTAGGAACATTTGCTATACTCCTCCAATTGTAAATGATTGTGTTGTTGTTTTTAAATACACTCTATCATATTTACATATAGAGCTCATAAATTACTTTAATTTTGCTCAACTGTCACTCATCAGCAATCAGTTGGTTATCTACAGGTTACAGCTAATAATCATTATTTACATTTTAGCCTATATTCTTCACTGTTTAAGCAAAGTAATATATGAATAAATGTCCCTGAAGAAAATTTTTACTGCTTGACTCTGCCTTTAATTACTACGAATTTATTTTAACTTCACAGTTATTCACTAGTGACATTTTATTTGCAGTATAATGTCTTATGCAGTATGGGAGGGAAGGAAAGGATTTTCTAGCAGCTTATAATTTGGAGTTTGGCTTTTCCAAACTCATTATCTGAAAAATGATTATTTTTTTTTGCTGTATATTTGCTTAGTTTTGTATAGTTGGAAGTTTAAGGACAGTCGAATGTTGTAGAATTGGCATAGTTCAGATAGGTAGCTGTCTGCATACTTACGACATTGATATCCTGTTCCTGTCAGTTCATGGTTAGCCCTGAAGTGATCAGGAAGTTGCACTCGATCTCTGTAGGTCCCTTCCTTTCCTTTCCCTTCCCTTCAAATTTATCCTGTTTTCCTCCATGCTCAGTGATTCCGTTTTCTTTTCTTGCAGAACTTCTTTGAAATTCCATAGGCCTTGTCCCATCCTCATGCTGTAGGCTGAGCAGGAAGCAGTGCAACTCAGGGGGTCTTCCAAAATAGCAGCATGATTCTGGCAAACCAGTAGCTCCTACAAATCAGCTCTATTCATACCACAGTGAGGTTTCACTTCACTACCCAACAGTCAATTTTAATGAACTTTGTAGGACATCAGCATTATCCAAGACTTGTCTCTTATTTTTTAAAGCTAGGTGGTTAGTTTGGAAGCTGCTGGGGAAGTGGCAGATAGCAGCAGGCAGCCAAGTCAAAGATGAAAGGATGATTTAAATGAAAAACTGTTGGAAACAAAACAGAGTATTGGGAAATGCTATTAACATGACTGCAGGACAGACACCTGATGAAGCCCTGCTCTCCAGAAATGTTAAAAAGCTACTTTTTCACTCCCTGTTCTTCCCTGCTTCCAAGCACAACCCTACACAGTTGGTCAGACCAGAGTTTTGCAGAGATTAGCTACTTTATTTGCTGAACTTCTCAGTGGCGCTGATACTTGCGGAGAAACATATTCTGAGCATATTCACATTCTACAAGTACAATTTGTTTGTCTAGAAATACAAAGAAGCCATAACATTCAAATATGATATTCTTGACTAGCTGAAATCTGACTGACTCCTTGCTTGTGGGGCTAGAGGCAAGATGCTTTGTGTGACAAAGCATTTGGATGCTACAATGGGGAATGCATACCAGCTGTCTTGAGCTTAAGTAGGATTTCAGAGTTATTCAAGAGCTGGGTTGCCTAAATGTAATACTTCATGGGGGCCTCATTTTTCTGTTATCTTTTGAAATCCATGCCTTGTAAAAGTGTCCTTCAAATCTGAGGTAACTAGAAAAGCAAATCAGTAAAGTCTCTGACTAAATATATCTTAATTTTCAGAACTATAATAATGTCAACAAGTGTAAGTCTTAAGAAAACACTGTGGGTTTCCCCTACATTGAAAAACTCTATGGGATTTTGTATGAGGGAATCTTTTCTGGATCTTTGTTTCAGTACCAGTCTCCGAGTCACTTACCACATACTGACTCTGCTATCTGATTTCTTTCTGTGTCAATCCCTTTCTTTCTCACCAAGGAACTAACCGCATTCTGGAGTCCAGACCTTGCTGAGAATTCAGGAGCTGTGACAGTATCACTCTGTAGTACAGTGGTAGGCCAGGTAAGGACACCTGTATTCGTAAATCAGTTTCCTAAACACAAGTATATGCTTATCCAGTAATGAGTAACTTTTCAGTGGCCATGTCAAATAAATGCTGTCAGAAAATGGAAGTAAACGAGGGCATTATTTATTATACTTTAATGAAGAACAAGTCGTTTGGTCACATATGGAAATCTAAAGTAGATATTAGAAGGCAAGTGAGATATAATGATAGCACAGATCTTTATGCCAAGATTTTTAATATGTTAAAAATAAGCAAATAGTATATCATTATTACATCGTTAGGTTCAATGAGTAAGTAACACATCAGTCTGCAATTGGAGCTGACTGACTGTTTTGAAATTGAGTCACTGCTTATCAAAGAGAAAAAGTTATACACTTCAGCATACAGCTTTATGAGAACTGACACAGGTTAAACAGTTATTCCTTCCCTTCCTCTCTTTATTGCATCCAGTATCAGATGTTCACTTCATGTTTTTCGCTGGTAAATTCCCCACTCCTTTTAATATCACAGCACTGGTAGAAAATGGTGATCTATACCATTATGTTTTACAGAGCTTAAAGTGATTTGTGATCATTTTTCAGTGACGCCATGAGCTGCTGGCTGTGCTGTGCAGATAGCCTAGCAGATTTCAACCCTTCAGCACCTTGCTTTCCCTGCTCTGCCACAGCTCATCACTTCCTCAGTTTTTACACTGAAGTTGCCAATAGTAGTTGTATTGCAAACTGCATTTCTTATACTGGTTGAAAGCATATTCTTCTTCCTTTGTTTCCGGTCTTGCTGGTTTGTTGTTCTGGCCCCATAGAGTGGTGCTAGAAGTGAGGAGCACTGAGGAGGGAGACCCATACTTCTTCAGCTGGCCTTGTCAGCACAGCCTGCAAATGCCAATATCATGCTGAAATAAGGACTATTTGTATTGTTTATTGTTCATGTAACTCTTCTATTTAATGGGTTCCAATCAGGCTGCAGTATAGTTGACTGGTACGTGCAAAGAATTAATTTCTATCCCTGCGCAAGCTGTCAGAATACTGGCTGCATAGAACTTCATTTGAAGAAAAAAAAAGATAATAAATAAAAGGAAAAAGAAAGCAAGCAAAACTCAGAAAAGTTGTGCAAAGCACATGCAGACAGCCCAGGCCCAGACTGCTGCAGGCTGCAAGGAGAGCAGGTTCAGGGAAGTGCACCCTGAGGCAACGGTCCTACTCCCCTCCACACTGCAGGACCAGTCCTGACCATTAGAAAAGTGTGACTCCCATCTCCTAGTTTGAGCGTGCCCTCCTGTTGTCTCTCCTCTAGTTAGTCCCTAATGCCATCACTGCATACACAGGCTACGTGTTTGTAAAGAGCCTAACAGTGAGGAGGCACTGCCACCCCACATGTGTCACTGTCACAGGTGGCAGCTGTGGGTGGGCACTGCCCTCAGACCAGTTTGGCCTTGCCTCCTTAAATACAGTGAGGCTGTGTTTCATTTTTCCCTTACAGGTGAATGAACTGAAACTTGCAATGATGTGAAGTGGCAAAGGCCATGGAATAAACCACTCCTGGGAATAAAAGTCAAGACAAAATATGTGAAAACTTGTTCTGCAGTTTGTTTCCTACCAGCTTGACGCAGAGCCGCAATAATGCAGCTCTCATAAGAAGCTTTTTTATTTGCCAGATACTGTCAGGGATGCTTTTTCTTGAAACAACTCAAGGAAGTAATACAGCAACCCGATAATTCAGAAAGTGTGCTGCTGTGCCCTAAAGCTATATGCCATTTCCACAATCTCTGAAAGAAAATAGAAGATATTGTTTAAGTGTTTGGGTTGTTGTTGTTGTTGATTTGTTTTTCATAAGGGAATTAGGATTTGCTGAGTAGGATTGTGTGGGTTAAGTCAAACATACAAATTCTGTATTAAAAAGCAGGTTTTCTTCTGGACAGTGACTTACCCCTTAAACAAATGAGAATACCTAGTAGTATAAGAGAAATAGTGAGCACTATAAAAATACTGGGGAAGAGCATCTTACCTTCTGTGTATAGTATGCATTAGTTGAATACTGAAATACCTCTAAACCATTTAGTAGAGTCAGACTGGCTTTTCTAAGTGGTCTCAACTTGTATCAGGATGTAAAGAACACAGACATGTTTGGTGAGAGTATTATTAGCACCCAGAAATATCTTTATTTGTACACTAATCTCAATAGATTTGGCCCCATTGCAAGATAAAAGGAAATAGGCTTTGATGTAGAAACAGAGGCAGCTGAAAAGAATGAGTTTTTTCCTGATATTTAGGAGCTTACACTTCTTTTGAAGGTAATAAACATTAAGTATAAACAAGCCTCTATCCTAGATACCTGGTTCTCTGGGCATTTTTGAATAATCCACAGAGAATACATTTGCATTTTCAGCCAACGTACCTCTGTCAATACAAGTCAGCATACTGAGTTGGTGATAATACCTCTGCTTCTTTATCTTGTTAGAATGTTTATGAGGGTCCCAGAACTGCACTTGCATAAGGAATGGAAGTCAATGTAGTTTAATGTCTGTCCACATTGCCCATATCAGCCCTGGTCTTAATGGGTCACAGGAACAGCTGCCTGTGATCACATCCTTGACTCCTTGACTGGATTGTATCTGGTAATAAAGGTGAAATAAAAACTGAAATGAACCCAGCACATTTGTAATAACATTTTAACAAGCTTGTGAAGCACTTTCATAGTCATTTCATCTTTGCAGCTTGTTTTTACTGTGAGACAAGGTGTTGACTGGTGTTTGGATGCAAGTTCTCAAAGCCCTGTTGCTGTAGGATCGTACAAGATACTGGTGAGAGAGAGCAGGGTGTCTCAGGGCAGCACAGACTGGGAGAATGTCCAGGCAATAGGGCTAATTTGTGGGTGAGTTCCTGCAATTCAGTTTGTGGCTTAGCCTCAGGGCTGAGCCAGGTCTCTCACTGTTACTCCAGGTGCTGGAGGTGGCTGCATCTCAGGCCAACTTAAACTCTTAAATTCGTTGCTTGCCCGCTGAGTAGCACACTACAAAATTCCTCCTGTTGTTTTCTGACCCGTTTTTCTGTTGGTAAGTTATATAATCTCTTTGCTAATTCTTAACTTCTGGTCTTTCACTATATTTAAATTAAAATTTTTATAGTAAAAAGTATTTTATAATTATAAATTATAAAACTTTCTGTAATTTATAGTGAAACTATACATAAAGTACTAAAAGGGTACTTTACTGTCCTGTATTAGCCTGAAATCTCCACGCTCTTCTTGCTTTTAATGTAACCTTCTAAGAGGCTCATGTAGAGCCTTAGGCTTGTATGTCTGATTAAGTAGTGCAACCTCAAAAATATGATGTCTTTGGGACATTTGTCATAACAACTCCATTAAATTACCTTATCTGTTTTTAAAAGTCAGTATCAGTGGCACAGTTAGCAGAGACATATTCTCAGCTGACATAAGTAACTTTGTCAGAGCCACAGTTTACATCGAGCAATGATCTGCTCCTTAAAAGCAGATGCTTAAAATCCTGGGTACTTTCCAATGCAAGAAATTGCAATAGGCCATAGCTGTCATATATTTTGTGAGAAGATGCATTTTGTGAAATAATTGTAATGGGGAAAACTAAGCCACACTAATTTCAGCTTTGACTGGCAATGTCATGAAAAAGAAAAAGAATGTGAAAGGAGAAAAGGGAGAAACTACAAATTCTACAGTCTTCTATTTGTGGAGGATATTAATAAGAAGCTTGCAAACTAATTATAGCTGACACACTGTGTTATGCATTATACTTGGTAGCAGGTAATAGGAAATAATGTTTTCTTCTTGCAAAGAATAAAGACCTGATGCTTAAACTATAATATTGTTAGTGAAAATGGAAACCAAGCAATTGTTTTTAATTGCAACGTTTTACTAATTAAAAACTGAATTGGGAGAACAAGTATTTCGTTTTGGTTTCCTTTTCAAAGAAAGATGTGGTGAAATACAAGATTTGTAAAAATGAAAAGGGATTGGTAATTCAGAAAAATAAAGGATCCTTTGATATTTCTGTTTTTTGTTTTTTACACAAGAGAAGCATTTCCAGGGGCAATCATTGAACTGCTAATGTTTTTTACTTCTTACTTTCTGTGTATAAGCAGAATTCCCAAGTTTGAAGAAAGGAAATGTGAGAAACAATTAAAAACAGAGTGTTGCCTCTACTGGTTTCATTTATATGAAGCGGTTGTAATATACAATTGTGTTTCTCAGCTGATATCTTAGGGTTCATTTGAGAACTGTCAAAATACTCTCAGGAGCTGAGGTTTTTTCTCTGTGAATACAAGTCCACACAAAGACCATTATTAAGCTTGCAAAATTATTCATCTAGAGACCTCCGCTTCAGTGGGAGGCTAATTTCTATTCCCATTTTCTTCTGATAAGCTCAGTCTTCCCCTTTCCTGATGTGCATTCCCTGTCTCCTTTCCTTCTCAGATCCTTTTTGTGTATCCTCAGCATTTGTGTCCTGAGAGTACCATCTCCCTGGTTCTACAACCATATATATTCTAATCCTTTTCCTTTGCGTCCCATTCTGTTTAGACCTTCAGGAATGCTGTATTTTCAGTTAGCCCCCTCTTCCACACTGCTGTTCTGCTCAGCTCACTGCTCCTCAGTCCTGTGTCTTGCCCCAGTAGCTCAGTCTCCCTGGATTTATTTTTCCAATCCCAGCTATTGCCTCAACCCAGTAGTTCCCATTTGCTGATTGGCCTCTAACTAGCACCAGCCTTCCCTGATTGGTCTTTGGTTATACTTCTATCTCCTGCCACCTTAATGCTCAATCACCTCTAGCCCTTTCTTATTTCTAGTTATTATTTCTAGAATCTACTCTTTATTTTACCATTTCACTCTTTCTGGCTGTACTTTCAGAGGGGCTTCCAGCTCACCTGACTCCCAAATGTCTCTCTTCTCTTACTCCTCTTTTTCAGGTCTCCGTCACCTTTTCTTCCCAGCACCAGAATCATTTCCAGCCTCACCAGGATCACTTGTC